CGTGCTTCGCAGAATCTACCACCGGATCGGAAACGCGACCCACTGAGAAGATCCGGCGAGAAACTCAGTGGGCTGTGTCTGAGAGTTAATTTACTCGTCGAGCTCTTCGTCGCAAGCGACGGGTTCGACGAGAACGGTGACCGGTGCTTGAAGTACCTAAAAGCACCGTTAGTGGATCGGGAGGATCCGAGATGACGTGTTTTGGGCGACGTCGACTGCTTTCCATTCTGTCCGCAGGATCGGGAATGTATAAGCTACAGTAATCACTTAATGCAGGCCTTAAGCTCCCGCGGAGACTGACGTCGTTGGTCGTCGACTATCGCCTCGACGACCCGTCGGTCGGGCGTCCTCGGGGTGGCGCCGCGTGTCTGGTTGTAGTGTTGACCGCGGGAACCCCCCTACTCTGACCGGGTTTTGACCCCGGACGGAGATCGGACGCCGGGTGTAAGAGTGCAGGGGAGTCGTTTAGTGGGTGGGCCCTAAATTCCTTGGGCCCGCGGTCTNCAGGCCTTAAGCTCCCGCGGAGACTGACGTCGTTGGTCGTCGACTATCGCCTCGACGACCCGTCGGTCGGGCGTCCTCGGGGTGGCGCCGCGTGTCTGGTTGTAGTGTTGACCGCGGGAACCCCCCTACTCTGACCGGGTTTTGACCCCGGACGGAGATCGGACGCCGGGTGTAAGAGTGCAGGGGAGTCGTTTAGTGGGTGGGCCCTAAATTCCTTGGGCCCGCGGTCTGCTCTCAACACCTGCAGATCGTTGAGTCTCACATACCCCGCGCGCCCCCTAGGCGCGGGGACCTCGTAGGAGGTTCGGCCCTCGGCCCGAAAAAAAAAAAAAAAAAAAAGGCCTTAAGCTCGGCCACCTATCTATGCAAAAAAAAAACTGTTCAAGCCACACAATTGTTCATTACAAGGAAAATAATCTGTCCTACCACTCGAATCTGATGATGAAGATGATGAATCCGATGAGGAACTAGAACTGGACGAGTCACTCGATGACGATGATGAGCTGCTTGAACGCTTCTTTTTGCCTTTACCGCGCTTTTTCTTCTTTTTCTTTTCTTTTTTTTCTGTCAAATTTAATAGCTGCTTCAGGGTTTCCTTCATTTCATATGACTTAGCCCCTGTCAAGCCAGGCAGTAATAACTCTGCAGGCTCTATCAAGGGCTTTGAGGCAGTGGTCTTGCTTTTCAAGAAATCTAACGAGTTTTGAGCTTCCTCATGGAAAGGAATGATAGCTAAGCAATCTTCATAAGCTTTCTGTGCTTCTGTTATTTGGTTCTCGTCTTCATAACTGCGTCCTAGTGCGACTAATGTTTCTCCCAAATATTTTCTTGCATTTGCATGATTTGGATTCAGCTTTAGTGAGGTCTCAAAATCTTCTATGGCCTTTTTGAATGTTCCACTATTGGCGTACAATGCTCCTCTAGCAACAAGACCCTCTACATTTCTAGGATCTATGCTCAGAGCTTTATTCAAGCATTGAAATGCTTCAGAATGTCTTCCAGCTTTAAAATGTTCAATGCCTTCTGCCACAGAACGAAATGCCCATTTACTTGCTTGTGCTTGGCGTAATTCATCTGCGTATTCCGATGAAGCGAATCTTCCTCTGTGAAAATTTGAAATAAATTATCACACTAGCAAATACTTATTTTCTCTATTGTCAGACTAATTTGCTCCTACTTCCACTCCCTAACCACTACTGTAAATCTGGTGTATTCAAGATGTCTCACAGTGATCACAGATAAGATACTCAAAGAATGATATGTGAAGGGAAGTTAATGGGAGTAGGCATTAAAAAAATAATATATATAAACTAGACAGATTGAAGCATGCTTGTTAACCAGCAGATCTGTCAGACAGATACCAATATTTCTATTAAAATATCTACTTCATTCATATTCACAAATGACTTTCACAATGAAGGAACATCATTTTACTAAACTTTTTATTTGGGCAATTGCTATAGAATTGAGCCAGAACTCAAGTGTCAAGGTGCATGTTGGTATTCACTTTGTGATATATCCAGTAACTACTTAACACCAAGTCGAGTGTGAGCTTTTTCATTCATTTAAGTAACTAACATTTAAGGATACTATATTAATTGCGCTATTAACAGCTAAGCATTTTTTTCCCTACCTAATCTATTAACCTCAAGGGGTCATTCTAGATTCGCCCAGCTTGTAGATTAGCTCACAGGGCTCAAACCTGACGACCTTGCTAACACGAACCCTAGCAAGAGCCGTGCTTCGCAGAATCTACCACCTGATCGGAAGCGCGACCGACAGAGAAGATCCGGCGAGAAACTCAGTGGGCCATGTCTGTGGGTTAATTTACTCGTCGAGCCCTTCGTCGCAAGCGACGGGTTTCGACGAGAACGATGGCCGGTGCTTGAGGTACCTAAAAGCACCGTTAGTGGGTCGGGAGGATCCGAAATGACGTGTTAAGCATAAATTCTGTTTTGGTTAGTTTATATTCCATAAAGCGAAAAGCATAAAAAATAAAATCTTGTCTAAGCATAATCGCCACGACAGAGAGAAGCGTAAGTGTCTGACGTGCTCCCAATGTGATCAGTCTTGTGTTATCCTATTTTTAATTTTTACACTGTGTCCTAGGAAAGATTGCTGGATTGTAAATATTTCAATAAAAAATGTTCCAGTTTCATTATGCGTTCCTAAGTGGACGTTTCCAGCAATATCATTGTCTATGGTAGAGATTCCAATACACACTATAAAATGATCTGCATATATTTTTTAATCAATAACCAATGTTATTACCTCAAATATGAGAAATTTGTGCAGTGCATGTTGGCAATGCCAAGATGTTCAGAGAGGAATTGAATGCAGTTGGGATTATTGAAGCCTGGGCTCTTCTCCAATATGGCTTCATAGTTTTCTCCTTTCATATCCATGGTTTTCCTATTAAGATATAAATATATGAGTAAATAGGTAGATTCATATGAACAATATAGAAAACCTTTTGAATATTTTATTTATATGGAGCTTTCAACTTCAGAAAAGGTATTTACAATGAAAAATTAAGCTTAATAAACCCTAAAATGTGTTAAGCCACACATATAATCCTCACCTGTTCCCATGGAGCTGTTCAAAAAATGTAATTAACTTGTATGTTATTCTTTCAGACACAAATATATCATAACATCATAGATTATGTGATTCCGCCTCAACAATGTGACAGTAATAGTACAACCAGTATGTTTCAGCTAGTCACTGATAATTTAGTAGGTATTACAAACAGGTCTTGGAACACGTTGCTATACCTAGAAAAGAACACCCTAAAATAATAGAGGGAGCAAATTCGTCCATCATCAGCTGCATGGTCACCTCCGCACAAAACAATGTAAGCTGCAGTGCTAGTGTCAAAACTATGTGCCGTTTCAAGAGCCTCATTTCATCAGCTAAATCGACAATTCCCCATATTTAGTCCATCTATAAGTAAATGACTCCAATATCCATTAAATGTTCATTTATAAAAGTCCAAAAATGTCTCAGAAAATGCTGGAATATCAAACATTAGCTTTAATTATAATATCTTGATCCCATTTAGACATCAGATTGAAGTGAACCTAAGTACTGACCTTTTCCTCTTATGTAAAAAATAAAACAATACAACTCAATGATTGTTATCTTATCTTATCCTCAAAATATAATGGTTTTGCACAATATTTTCAGATGTATAAGATCCCTCCTGTTATTCCATTGAATTTGATTTTTTTTAAATATGTAAAGTGGTCTCTCATTTTATTGTTGAATGCATATAAGTACTGAAAATCGATTATCCAATAATGTATTTTCCATATCTTCATGTGCCTGCCTGCCTATGTGAATTTTGTTTTTCATGGTTTTGAATGACCAAAAAAAACAATAGAGATACGGTTTCATTATGACAAATAAATATAATATGGTGAAATCCTCTTGTGATTATTCCATACTTGTTATGAATCCTCATAACTGTATTCTATGTTTCTTCCAAATAAATAACATTCAAAATTCTCTATTAATCTATGTTATGTTGAGTATCCTCCATTATTCAAGTCTTCAAATATTATGTATACACAAAATACATCAATTTCAAAGCTTCTACTACAATAAATAAACAGGTACAAAAATAACAAACATGTGTAACAAAACCTGCAATGTGTAGGGTATTGGTGATTATTTGAAAAAGATATATTAATCTTTATACATACTTGTAGATCAAGGGGAAGTCGTCAGTACTCAGGAGGCCGAGCGGAGGCTTAGGCGGGGGATCATCGGGCCCTCGCGTCACACCCTTCATGCCGCAAACCATTTTGTCTGTATCTGGAATAACTTCTATGACTTCGCAGCAAACAGTGTCATTCATCAGGTAGTTTCTTGACACATTTTTCTTGTCAACAGCTTGAATAATATTTCCTACTGGTAAAAAAGCCTGCAAAAAAGTTTATTTCATATAGTTTGTTTTATTTGATGTTTTTTATAATTATAATATAGTATTAAACTATTCTAACATAAAATAAGCTGTAGTTAATATGGTTGGATTATTTCATTATCTAACCTTTTTTTCTCAACCTAATTGCTGGTAGACTCACAAGGCTCAGCCTGAGAAATAGCTAAGCAGCAAAACAGTCATGACCCTGAACTGAACTGATGCTGAACATAATCAGAACAGTTTAACAAGTTATCTAATTTCCTTAGGTAATTTGAATCTTGTTTTAGTGTGGTAGTGGAGGGTGACTTCATTAGAATTAGCTGATTGACAAACATTTTATTTGATGAGTTCTCAAGCCTTTCTGGAGTTAAGTAGTAATTAAAATTCACAGATACTACAAATTTGAGACCTGAAGTTGAAGTCTACATAAAAGTAGTTTTTACTAATTATTCATAGTTTGGATAGTTACAACAACAACTGATATCCAACACACCAAATGACATGTGTAATTGAATGAAATTAGATTTTGCCATTTTTCAATCCCATCCTATTTTTTTTTTTTTTTCAGTCAATTGTGTCATGCCATTTCTGAGCTGTCAAGAATGTGTAAACAATGACCATTAAAGAAATAGTTTTAATTTTTGGAATGACTAAGAATGATAGGAAAACGCTCCTTGAGATTCAGACCTTTCTTCTTTAAATTGGGTAGTAGTTATATTTTTGCGTAAGGTTACACATATACATTTGATATACATGTATTGTAAAATGAACCAGGATGGTTAAATGAAGTTTTATGTACAGAAACCTAAAATTTCCTCACAGTAATTCAAGGATCAAACCATCATTTTGACTAAATAATCAATGATCATTGACTGAAAGGAGTTACTTTGTTAAAAACTATTGGACAATACATATTCATTACTTACTTTACTATCTTAATTCTTAATTTAGGAAATATTTTATCAAATTAATACAAAAGTTTAATGTATTTTTGATGTACATGATACATCATAGCTAAATGATGCAATATCTCAGACACAAGACATTTTCCCATGCATGTTATTTTAAATTAATACATAGCTCACATCACTTATAGAATGAATAACATTATATGTCTGATATAAAGATTAATTTTTCACATACAATGTTTTTGTTTTTGTAAATAATGTCTCGTGATCTAAGTGTACATCACATTCTATGACATGTATGATCAAGAATTTAAACAACATGTAATGAAAAAAAAAAAAAAAATTTTTTTTACCTTGACATTAATGTCGGCTACATATCTGGAAGTGGGTCCTGCTGTGCAAAGAACCTTAAGCATCATCCCTGACGCAGTTCTGTTGATAACAGCTCCAATGATCAGCTCACCAGTCTTCACATTCTGTACATAAGCGACATTGTAATCACATTTCAATGTTTCAGTACAAAAGTGAAGAAATGATGTGTTGCAAAGTTTAATAATGAATTTGTCATTTCTTAATCAATAATTTCATTTCCAAAGTTCCAGACTTAATTTTCATTTTCACACAAGACAGACTAAAGCCATTATTAGTAAGTAGAATTTCTGACATTGAACAACTTTGAAAGATTTCTCAAAATCCATTTGTGAGACATGGAAAACAATTATTTGTAATACATTTTTTTTTCCTTCAATATCTTCTTGAAACATGTGAAAATGTCAGATATTACTGTAAATACTTACATCAAAAAAGTGTCTTAATCTTGCTGTTTTATCCACATTCAGAAATGTTTCAAATGGAGGCATCAATGCATACAAATCTGTAACAAAATAAAATTTATTAAATTATCTTTCCAAAGCATGCCATTATTTTAAGCTTATTAAAAATGTATACCGTCCACATTTTTTTTTTTATTCAAGATGTATTTGCATTTACTTAATCATATTGTGTAGGTAGTAAATCTAACCAAATACAGATATAATATTATGCAAATAAAATGTATGAAATTTATGTCTCTAAAAAGGTTATGTAAATCTATATAAACTGTCAATAGACTGGCAACAGAGTTAAGGCTATTTTTACAAAACTGCATTAAGTATTAATCTAAAAGTTGTCCTTTTTGGGAAAAAATAAAGGAGCATTCTCAGCTAATTTGGCAATGTAATGCAAATTTTTGTTTAATTTCTAAGCTGATAAGTTTTTATAAAAGAACAAATAGATGTTGAATGAAAATTAACATTTTGAAGTTAAATGAGCGTGGGAGTCAACTCCTAAGGATTTCTCACACTTAAGTGGTGGTGACATCATAGACCACATATTTTTTATGTATTTTGGGTAATCATAATTCAGATTACATTGCTGCATATTCAGGGCTGTTTTCTAATCGATCAAAGATGATAATCAGTAAGATGTCTTCATAAGCTTGACAAAGGCACTAATAACGGAATAGAGGTAGTATTATATATGTGTAAGTAGGAAACAATTACATATTTCACACCAACATGAAAAAAACATTTTTCTCTTACACGGCTTTTAAATAATTCATTATTACAGGAAAACATAGGTATTTCAATACATTTTTAAATTGGTTTCCATAGCAATATCGTGTAAACCTTTACCTATGGTATATTAATGCAAACAATAGGACAAAATTTTCATGGTTTATTATTTTACGAATACTTACTGTCTTCGGGCACTAGAGTCTCAGTCCCATTAGTTGACGACGAAGGAGTATCCTCCAGTAAGGAAGAATCAAATAAAGCTCCAGCTTCTTTAGCTATGAACTGATGTAATTTCAACCTCTTGCTACGATCTTGGAAGGTAAGGTGCTTATGTCTCGACTGGTATACAGCAAAGTCTAAAGCACCCACGCCGATTTTAGCTAAATCATCTTCTCCTCTCTCAGACTCCCACGTTTTTTGTAACTGCTGTCCATGATAATTTATGGACTGCGCCACTAAGGACGCATCCAATAAAGGATCCATTTAAATCTACAAAATTTTAGGAAAATTAGAAACTTTGCGGCATAACATTACCAGAAAAAGTGAGAGTGAAATGCACGACGCCATTTTGCATGAACTACATTTTTCACTTTTGAATTTTTATTAGAAAGACATGTTTTTATTGTTACTTACTCTTTTTTTCCCAGCACGAAGTTATGTTGTTACGTTTCCAAATAAAATCAGTCAATGTTATAATGATTGAGAAAAAACCTATTCAATAATGAAGCGAAATGGCGACCAATGAATTTTACATATAGGAAATGCTCCAAGTACAAGCACAGACTAAAATTAAATAGAGTAGAGATTATTTACGATTTTTGTCTATGGTGAAATATGTTAGCATCATGGAGTTAATAAGTACCTACAACTGGAGTGCTGTCTAATGCCGAGAAATCGGTCTCGAAAGAGAATACTTTTTGGTCGCGGTGTCCTTGTCTAATGTGGTGACCATATAAAATTTATTTATAGGACAAAATTATACAGATCAATATCAATTTTGAATTTTACTTCAAGTTTTTTTTGAATTACTTTGATGGGCGGACGAGCTCANGCATGGAGTTAATAAGTACCTACAACTGGAGTGCTGTCTAATGCCGAGAAATCGGTCTCGAAAGAGAATACTTTTTGGTCGCGGTGTCCTTGTCTAATGTGGTGACCATATAAAATTTATTTATAGGACAAAATTATACAGATCAATATCAATTTTGAATTTTACTTCAAGTTTTTTTTGAATTACTTTGATGGGCGGACGAGCTCACAGCCCACCTAGTGTTAAGTGGTTACTGGATCCCAGACATCTACAACTTAAAGGTACCTTGAGATATAAGTTCTAAGTTCTCAAGTATAGTTACAACGGCTGCCCCACCCTTCAAACTGAAACGCATTACTGCTTCACGGCAGAAACAGGCAGGGTAGTGGTACCTCGCGCGCGGACTCACAAGAGGTCCTACCACCAGTAAAAGTATTCTGTGTAGCCCTACAACACACGTGCTTGTGGTAGTTTATTTATGTAAATTCAGTTCCAAGCATTGCTTCGTCTAATACCTTCGTAGGTAAGACGGTTTTTTTGGGAATACGCTTATCGGGCGCTCATTTCCTGCATTCACATGTTCAATGGATTTAAAATCGATTGTATTGTTACTTCTGTGGTATTTTAATGACACATGTATTTAGGTCTACTATATAGTTAAATTTTAGGAAATAAAACACAATGAGTAACAGAATAAAATAAATTGAAAATCCTTTATTTATTTAATTTAGACAATTAAATAACTCTTAAATGATGTCATTTAAGAGTTACATAGTACTCGATCCTTATTTACAAAATATTTGTTATATTATTTTTATTAAATTTTTAGTTATTTTTCGGTAGTCTTATACTACAATATTTCTTCTATTTTATGGTACATTCCTTTTTTTTTCAACGAAATACATAATTTATTTTAATCAATATCTAAGTGGACCATGAGTATCATTAAAACGGTGCGTAATGTAAGTGGGAATGTATGAAAAGAAATTGGTTTATTGATCATGTAGGCAATCAAATAGCTCATACGACAAGTCAATACATGGTACTTAATCTCTCTTTACAAAATAATAAATAATTGTATTATTTATATGAAATTTATTTAGTTTTCATTTTTGGTAGTCTTCTTATTTATTATTTATAACAGTTTATAGTAAGTAAAACGCTATTCATATTTTAGTGGACTATGAGTATTAGTAAAACTACGCGCAGCAATTTAATGTTACCACCGGATCCAACGCGGCCCTGCCTGAGAAGACCCGGCGAAACAAACTCAGCGGGCTTAACTTTACCACTGGATACAAAGCGACGCGACCCAGTTCCGAGTAGATCCAGCGAATCAAGCTCGGTGGGCTTGATTTTGGTAAATTTCTATAAATAAAAATTTAAGACTTGTCTTTCAAAATTTGCCATATTGTTATTTATTTATTTATTATTGTTTTTGTTACTCGATCGCTCGCCTTATTAATTAATTAGTGCTTAATAGTTTATTATTTCATTTAAATTAGTTGATTTGATTTGTAAGATCTATTCTTTTTATTGAAAACGTACTATTTATATATATTTAATCGTATATTGTTTTTGCATGGAAATGTATTATGTGAATACTTCGGTGCCCCAGAAAGTCGCATTGTGCAAGAAAACATCTAATGCCAGGGTTCTTTATTCTCAATATATTGTTTATTGATAAGTATGCTTTTATACGTGTCTTAAATATTTTGTTTGGTAGATGGGTTATCGAATTGGGTAGTTTATGTAGAATTTTATGCCATTACCTACAAAAGACTTTTAATGTAATTAGTGAATACCTCAATGCGCCTAGGTCACATAGTGCAAGAGAACATCAGCTAATGCCAGACTTCTTTATCCTCGTTGTATTAGTTATATATATTAAACATGATTAAATAGTACAGTTTTATTTAATTTTTGTCTTAGGCCGTGTTTGTTTCCTACAATATTTAATGTCAAATGTTTTCCATACGAAGCCATTCTGAGTGTTAAATATTTATCAGCGATACATTTTATGAGTTCGACATCATGTCTGTTCTCACAATTAATCGAGTTAACGGGATGAGGTGGATCAATTAGCGCATGTAATTTTTCATAAAAATGTTGAGTAATCATGATTTTTATTTTATTTTTTTGTAGTTTACTACAAGATTTGGCTGCCAATGTCAAAAATATTTTTTCGGCATAAATTATTACCTCATAAACTAATTTTGAAACATACTTTAAACCGCCTCTGTCGATAAAGGAAGTAAATGAGGATTCTTTATTAACATCTATAGCGTAACCATGGTCTTCGGCTTTTTGTTTTGTTAAAAGTATATGCATGCAATGGTGACATTTAATTTTTTCTAATATTTTTTTTACGATGTAACCACCGATGTAATATAAAATGTTATTTTTATAATCAGTTAAACTTTTATGCTCTATTAATTTTAACAAGCATTCGACCTGTTCATTGTCCTGTGTATTGTCGTTCTCTTGTTCCGATTGTCCTTGGTGACTTAACATTAGTTCTGACGGAGAGTCGAAATTCTCAGCTAAACAATTAGAATTGATGCTTGGAGTTACATTGTTACGAAATAGCAACTTCCGCAGTATATATTTTACTTGTAATGCACTAGGGTTGTTGTTATGCCCACCCGCTGCCCTTATACACGAAAATAGCATTTCAATATGGTCTTGGGAACACTTGTACGTCAAAAAATAATTTAATACCCCACTTTCTAATAAATCCAAGGCTAAGTTTGAAAAACTGTACACGTCTATAATAAAACCAAGTGCAGCTGTTTTTCGTCTATGTTTTAAAATTTCATCACTATTTATTTTTAAACTTGCAAGATAAACCCTTGACTCAGTCAAAATATTTTGCCATATTTCTTTATTACTGAGGCGCATAGGGGAATCGAAACCTTTACCAAAAGGATTTTTACAGTTAAATATGTCAAACAACCTATCTATCATTCTTATATACTCTACCGTAGCTTCACTACCTAAAAAATGGTTATTTCCGGAACATCTCAAAAAATCAATAGCATCGGCAACAGATGAACTCATTAACTGAGCAGCTAAACGTACGTTCATCTTTTTGTTGTAAAAATTTACATGGGTGGTAGATAGCTTATTAGCAAACTTTAAGCCTTCCTTTTCTTGGATTTCATGAAGTATTTTAATATACTCGAATTTTATGTCTCCCTTTTCCGAGCTTAAATTTGTTTCAGCGAGGAGATTTCTCGAGAGCTTTAGCATATGTGGTGGATCCATTAAACAATAAACGTTAGTATTTTCCTGGGGATGTTTAAATGAAGTTATGAAGTCAGGATAGGTAAATTTACATCCTAACCTTTCATAGGTTTTTAAATTTGTAACCGTTCCGTCACAAGTTAGTGACTTTACGGTTATTCCCGCATCGCTTAAAAAACGTATGGCAGTCAATATTAAATGAGACTGTACCCCCGCTGATATTTTATTGATGAAAAAGTAAGCAATAGGGCATTTTAATTTCTCCGTGTATGATACGATTTGAAAAATGAGAACTTCAGTGGCTAAAGTTTCAACATCTTCTGTCATAATGCCTCCGTAGTCCACGTAGCCCCAGTATTTATCAGTACTAGCTTCATATTTCAATTCTGTCCTAATAGACATAGAGTCAAAAATGAGAGCAACATTTTTTAAGCTCGGAGTTTTGGTTGCCAAACTTTTTAAAAAATTAAATACCTCAGTCATAAATCCAACATTACAGTTATAAGTTGACAAAAGTTTTCGAAGTGTCGAAGGGTGTGGAAGACACATAAAATTTCTTAAATAGGAGTAAGCTCGTTTCGAATAAAAACAAACTGTCAAAGCAAATGACTTAATCTCTTCATTATATCTTACTCCTTTACCTGATTTAGTATTAATTACAAAATGTTTATGAATATTTAAAAAGCTATTGTTTAAGACAGTTTCTAATTCTGTAAAATTCTCGCATTTTTTCTTTAACAAATCTAAAATCGACTTTAAATTTACAATCTTTATTTCGCGTTTTTTAAGTTTTTGTTTCAAAACCTTAACATCTCGTCGTAATTTTGCTTTTCTTGGGGTATTTTTTATTTCAGGCGTTTGAGTACTTGATTCCTCTTGTTTGACCTTTATATAGGACAGTTCTCCAGAAATTCCAACATCATATTTATTAGAAGATTCTCCTCGTTCGCAAGAAGTTCCTGCTTGTGTGATATCGCTCGAAGTTGATGGCTGTATAGAAGATTCTAGTTCCATATTTTGAATACTCAAAACTGTAATTTTCTTGCTTCTTGGAAATACCTGACACATAAAATGATGAAAATGCTCGGAATTAAATAAAAATAACAATTTTGTTTTTCTTGTGATGTGCCCACCGTCGGACGGATTCCATTTGTTTGTTTTAAGTTTATTTTATACAAAAATGTAAAGGTCTTTAATTTATCGATTTCTTCTAGATTACGAAGTCTACTGGATCAGCTAGTCATATATTAAAAAAGGCAACACGTTAACATTTTATTACCTTAGGGACTGCCTGTGGTTTTAACTTTTTTTTAGCTTCTGTTAAATAGTCATCTTGATTAAAATGCAAACTACAAACGCATGCAAATTTTGACACGTTATTGTCAAGATTCATGGAAGTAATCCACAAAGCCCTCCGTTCTTCATTAGCTGGAATTCTGAAAACAGGACACGAAATTGTGGCAACGCTATAACAACCGGTTCATATTTAA